TTTTTTATTTATTTTGCCTCGAAGTTCTGGTATTCTCGCAGTTGTACGAAGTCTCAAGGCCGGATCGAAGAGTGGATACAGTTGAATACTTACTTTGACCCCCAGGGGAGCACTCCCAGAAAAAAATTGGGTGGAAGTGTGTGGCCCCCGGCTATGACCCTTTCTGATCGATCTTCCTATCATCCTAACTTAAATCGAAGACAAAACTTTTCAGCATCTTCTTTTCGATGTCCATGGGTTCACTGTTTACGGTCAGCCTTCACTTGCCACAAGTTTATCAACGGGTCACGTTCTCGGGCCGTAATAAAAACTCAGGGATTAAAGATCGTCGGAAGGGATTTTACCCACGGGAATTCGAAACTAGCGGACACTCGCGTGATTTCCTGCTTCAGCTCGTAACAAGAAGTAAGATGTGCGGCAGGCCACGCCCGGTATCGAAACGCGTCGCTAAACTGGCTAGGTGATGGCCTTTATCGGCGATTCCGTTCGCGAAAAACTTATAAATACCTTACTGATTCAAATATTTATCAAGCGATCAACGCTGACTTGGTAAACCCCAGGCCCCGTTCTGCCTCTCGTTTTCCCACAATGACTGAGACTGGAACCGGAGACATTTTTCCCTCAGTGACTAAGAACGTTTTAAAAAGATAAGAAAGAAGTGGAAAAAATGATGGAAAAAATTCAAAGAGAGGTATCGAGTATAGCTCGCTGGCAGAAGAACAGATGTCCACGATTAAATAATTAATGCAAAGATCGTAAAAAATTAACAATTAAGGTTGTGGGCTCCTGTCGTAAATCATGATTTTGCGAAGTATATTGATATTGAGCCAATTCAGTGGTTTTTGTCACAAACCACGTTTACAGATAGTTGTCACTGAATCATTCATTGGTATTGCATTTACTTTTTTTCAACTCAGTCTTCCAAATTAAAGCAATAGAACCACGGTATAAGTCCGGTTTTCAAAGTGTTTTCACATTCGATCGCAGGAATGTCGATCGTGTACGTGTGGGCCATGCTTTGAGCGCCTAGTTACAAAGATTAATTCTTATATTGAGGCCGTCGACCCTCAAAGCGGTGAGATATCAGTTTTATTGCCAGTGGTATGGGCTATCATGATCATGATAGATTTGCGGCACGATCGTCAAATTCTCTAACAGCTTCTTTAAATTTTCAGCCCACTTTATGCCTCGAGATCTAGGCTCACTAACATTTCCGAGATCAAAGAAAAAGACACTTAACAACGGGCAAGTTAGAATGCAATTAACGTGATTTAATTTTGTTTTCTGAGACAAGAATGGAGGAAATAGCGGTGTCCATTTATATAAAAGATCAGCCAGAAATGTTCAAATCACATAACGGAAAACATCACTATACCCTTAAAAGAACGATTTCGAACCATACCTACCTATTGTAGCTCCTTAGAGTCACTGTCCTCCTTTTTTGATCGATCGACACTTCCACAGAGGTGGCAGATGAAACTGAGGACGTGCGGTCAAAACCCACACTCTTATAGCATAAATTAAGGCAGGTCCCAATCAAAATGAATTGAAAAAGAATCATTAGACAAATACAAGTTGCTTTTTATCGTTCAGGTCATCACTGAGATAAGATACAAAGGAGAAAAGCTGTGTTGTCAACTGTTCCGGTAATATTGTTAGTATGAGAAGTTGCATTAAAATGTTTGTCTCGAACGAAAAATGGTTTTATTGATTCTGCAGGAGTTTAAATCAATGCTTGTACTAATATAAAAATAATTGCTTTCATCATAAAGCTAACTCCAGTGGTTTTTGTAAGGATCATATAATTATTACCTTTGGAAGTAGTTAACAGATTTAGCAACCTTTTACTGCACGGATCAAGACTTAATTTTATGAGTTACCTTTCAATCAATGTATTTTCAGGAACTTGTTTTTGCTATTCTAGAGAGTACAGTACGAGAAATTAAAACGGTTCTTTTCAATTTATTTAGACCCTAAGCTGTTTCTTTAGCTTTATTTGCATTTTGGGCTCAATTGTCGAATGAAATAGCGCTTAGTTTACTTTTTACTAAATTGTACTGCCGGTGTGGCAACACCGTCAAACAATGTAATTTTTTCAATTGAGGAAATTTCGAATCTTTGCACGTCCTAAAGCTACCCACGCACTTTGTACAGATAAACGTGTTAATACAGCTGTTGATTAGTACATTTTCACATTTAAATGAAAACTCATGCATTGTTATGTATTCAAATCATATTATTTCTATTTTCTTTTCTCTTCAAGACCAGTTCTCCTTTTTGTCTGGAGTACATCACGCATTCTCCGAATACCTTTTTTCTGCTTGTACTCCTTTTCAATATGCAATTCATTGTTTAAAACAGGGAGTATAACTCGAGATTTTGGGCATCTGGTAAACAATACCGAAAGTTAAAGAGGCAAAAAACACCACTGCAGAGAGAGACAGAGAAAGAGAAACCAAAAAGCAAACAAATAAAATCAAAGGAACATTTTTCATTTACTCAGTGAAACAATAAGTAAATAGCGTACATAGGTGAGACCACAAATATTTTAAAGAGCCTTGTTTCAAATTTTTCCCACATTGAAATTATGTGTAATGTGTTGAAAGCCCATCATCTTCCGTCGCTTTGGCCTGATAGATTGATTCAATTTTGACAAACAAAACAAAAAATGCCCGTAGCAGGTTCTATACATTTCGTGATCAAACATTGAAGAGCTTTTAAACTTCCGAGTAGCTATGTTAACAGCAGGGGTCCCTTCTGGTTTTAAATTGCGGAATAGTGCGAAGGCCGGTTGATATATATAAACAATACAATAGCCTCCATTCGGCGCGAAAATATATATGCTCGGATATTTGTCTGCGGACATTATTTGTTCCCAGAAGCGAGCAGTTTTCTGAGAGCGTATAACGTAGCTCGAGGAAAACTGTGAGCTTTGAGGAACAGATAATATGTCTAAGGACAAATATCCGAGCATATTTTCGCGCCAAATGGAGGCTATTGTGCTTATTATCCTTCAAATATTTTTCACAACACGCGCAATAAAAAGCACTAAAAAAAAGGGTTCACCATCCAATTTTCTTTCCTAAACCGGTAGCTATAGTAACTATATATTTCACCAGGGAAATTTTTATTAGGAACCCTAGTAATTAGAAATAGGAAAAATCTTTTCCGAAAATGTCATATGTTTTTTTTTTTTTTTTTTTTTTGGTGGGTTGGGGGGGGACAAAGACCCAGAGCTGAACACAATGTAGATCCACCAGCCTGTAATAAGAAACATTTTTATACTGTTGTCAGTTGAGTTGAAAGCTGTTAGACCTCAGAAAATTTCTTTGTAAAGTCTGTCTAGGTAAGTCATACATGGATGACAAGATACTAACCCGGCTTACACTCTTCTTCAGATTTGTGTGGATAGACTCGTTCTAGATAACAGGGGGTTCTGGGTCAAAAACTCAACATGTTCAGTTTCCTGACCAGAAAAATTAATGGAGAACTTCTGACGATTGGTGAGGGGCATGTCTTTTTCCTAGTCTCCTTTGCAGTCGTCATTAGGGTTGTCATGCAATACTTCTCCCCAGTGGGGAGAAGCATTATGTGGTGACCCTTACAACAGCTGCAAAGGAGACTAGTCTTTACCTGTCTCAGTTTCTTATCAATACTTTGCCTTTTAAAACTTACCTGGAATGCTGTAAACTCCTTTTCCTTGAGATTTGTGTGCTGCAAGCATTTTAAGGACTACTGGGTTGATAAGAAAGACCAGCTAAGTATCTTCATCACCTTTGATTATATATACCAACACAAGTATGGTAATCTGATCCAGTAATCTTGTCAGAAACCCATTGTTACTTTTATTTTTATTTTATAATTTATCACACCTGACAATGTTTGCCCAGCCATGTAACTCCACCTTCCCCTTGAAACAACAACAAGGGTAACAAATAACTGTTAAAGAGGATAAGATGGAAAACATTTTGTATAATTTGGGCAGTTTTTTGTGGCATATAGGAAACATTTGTCTTTCCTCCATGCCCAGAACACCTGGAATGAATTGTTGCAAAGTGTTGTATGATTTTTATGGAATTTTAAGAAGTGTAAATAAAATGAACTTGAACATGAACTTGTATTATACTAATCTTTTATTGTTTTCTTTCTTTATGTAATAAAAATACAAATACTGTGGGGTGAAAAATATGTAAGTCTAAACTTCCTTCCAATTAAGTTTCTTTTCAAACTTAGAAAATGTACATTCTTCCAACAATAATTTCCAGATTAAGTAAGATCTTGTTTGACATGAAGTCAATGTAAGTGACTCTTAAGCCTTAAAAAAATGGACATATATTTCTCCAGCAATACTTTCCAGATTAAGTAACTGTAAGGTTTTGACAAGAAGTTAATATAAGTGACCTTTAAAAGCTAGAAAATGTACATTTTCCAATGAAAATTTCTACGGAAAGTAAGGTCTAGGGATGAATTCAATGTAGGTGGCAACTCTCTCCTCTTAGTGCAGCTTGAATAACCTGTTTGTGAGATGCATATCATCTACATATCTGAAAGGAAGAAAACAAACAGTTGTTACTATCAACCTACTTCTGTGGGAGGTGCAGTGGCCTCATGGTTAGTGTGCTCATCCCTAGATTGAGTAGTGCAGGTTTGAGCCCTGACCAAGGCCACTGTTGTGTTCTTGGGCAAGACACTTAACTCTCACAGTACCTCTCTCCACCCAGGAGTATAAATGGGTACTGGCAAATTGTTGGGGAAACCTAACAAATTGCAGGGGAGNCCCATCACCCCACAATTTAAGCTGAACGTTTCTTTTTCTTGAAAACTCTTCTCGGAGGTAACCATGCAATGAGCTAGCTTGCAGATCCCTCCCATGTCTTTCGTAGCATCTTTCTTCCCACCAATTCTACTTGGTTCAGGAACTTTAGATGTAACTATGTACCTTGTGTGATTGGGAGTGAGTAGGCTATCGGCCAGGTTTCTTTTGCCACTCTCAAAATGATTCCTAGCTCATAGCTTTCACATAAATGAGCATGAAAACGCAAGGTATTATACAGCGGTAGACCCAACGTAATGGACTGTTATGCAAGAGGGTTCTGCCCATGTATTTGACGAGTTCAAGTTTAGAAAAGGGTAAGGAAAATTGCTACTTGGGTATGACAGAGATCCCAACTTAAAGAGTTGAAATTCGTTAGGTTGCAAAACTTGCCTATTTGTGACTGCCACCGGGGGGCAGTTACTCCTTGTAATGGCCAATACAGAGGAGGGTCTGCCCAAAAGAGGTACCTTTATCAGGCTTTGGGTAGAGACACCTGGTAGATTTAGTGGCTATGCAAGACCAGGAGATTCGGGCTGTATATGTGAGACTGGTATAAAGATTGCCTAGTTCATCCATGGCTTTATCCGAGGACTTCGCGGTCAGATTGATTTGGGTGATGTACCCCAGACTTTTTGCCCTGGGAACTGGGCAAGTAAGAAGATACCTTTCAAATTATATTCTCAGATGAGCTTGCTCAATCTAAAGGTATATGAAGAGGGTAGTAATTTCTGTGGAAGGTATCAAAGGGTTACCTTTGTTGTTCAAACAAGATAAACTTATATGAAAGAGTGAGGGTCTGTACAACATTGAGGAGGGTCGCCATAACACTATCCTTTAAGATTCCCCAGTAGGACTCCCCACCCACTCTCCCACCTCGCCAACCCAGCAGGGTTTACCCCATGTTCAAACCAAAAATTACTCAAATCTTCTGTTTGTGTCGACATATAGCAAGAGAATGGCTTTCAAATAGGACAGAGAATGCTATACAAACAAGAGAGCTATTGAAGGATTGCCGTTTGCTTCATCTTGTCCTCAGCTTCTCTCGGACTTCACATTCAATTCCATGGAAGACCAACAAAGAGCTAAATTACAATGTGGCTAAAAAGTAATATCTTTAGTACAGATGGTACTAGGGAAGAGAGAAATCAAGAACATGGACAATTACTTTCTGTTCATCTTATAGTCTAAAAGTTGAGGACTCTGTGGCGCCACTTGAAGTCAATAATTAAAAGCTTATTACGCTTATAAGCTAGCGTACTCATAAGCTTGCAACAAGTTGGAGATGTAAACAAAGCCGTGTTCATTTTGTTTGCCGTATCAATAACCCATTTCTTCACAGGCTCCATCCAACAGTAGGCAATTGTGTTGAGTGTGATATTTACAGCTAAATAAACAATGAACTCACCGCGTCATAGGGCTGTTTATGTGTGGAAAATGCTTTTGGTGTGAGGGATGAAACGAAGGAGAAAGCGGCATTCCAGTTCCCCATCTCGGACAAATTTCTCGCTGTGGAATGCCTTTGGAAGGCAGGATTTGTCTCAACGTCGACCATTCCTGGCATCTAGTTGCTTGGGATGAAGGATACCACTTCTCTTCTTCTAGATGCCGTGAAAAAGTCTTCAACGAAGGTTGAGTTTCGCGTCTCCAATGTTGAGCAACTTCCATATCCGGTGGCCCGCAGATAAATTTCGAGCGCTGTACAGGAGCATTACTTCTGAGATCTTGAGGATCATGCCGTTTGTTCACCCACACTACATGGTTTTCTTCTGGTTGTATTTTTGCTGCAGTTTTGTAGCCATAAAGCATTCCGCCAATGGATTCCGCAGCCATTTCTAAAATTCCTTGGTATCGTCTGGCAAACCTTCAGTGCAACTTTTCCTGTTGCTAGGCAACGCTTCAGCTGAACCTCGCCGGAACTGCCAGCATTATCCACGTGGTCAGGTTGAACGAAAAACACATGCGGGAAGCAGGCGAGATACTTGAAACTTGTGATATAAAAAGATCGGAAGATGTACCACAGGTACCTCATGCTCGCAAAATGACTGTGCGTTGCAGATAACGTCAAAATGTGGTGAAAAAAAAAACAGATGCACACGAGCCATAATAAAGCAACGTGTTAATGATGACGTTGTCTGTTCGTCTGTCTTCCAATACATCATAAGTGTAGTAGTAAGAACCAATCAAAATGCGAGAATAATTCGACAGTATAAAATACATGCAGTTGCACTGAGGTTTAATATGCAGCAGTCGAATATAGGGATTTGTATGGGAATAACGGTAAATACGAAGGAGTAGAATACAAGTAAACCCATCTCGCTTTGGGTGTGTTCCGTGTCTCTCGTCAAGTTTCTAGGCCGATTTATAGTCATTCCGGTGTTTTTATCATAGTTCCACTGAGTTGTCCTCTATAAAGAGGACATTCCGTCCAGTCCATTTTCTGGCATGCCTGGGATCCCTTCATGAAACTAGTCCAGCTCAAAAACGATTTTGATGCTGCTGGGTCTGCCAATTGTGTCCAATCCGAGATTAATTGCACCCTGGGCAATAAATAAAGGTAGCGTTAAGGGCTGACCCTAAGTGGCCATATCCTGTGATTTTAGCGGCAGCAGCGTGAAAATTCCATTTGCCCTTGGGGATAGGGTGTGGCCTAGCGCAAGACAGTGGAATGTTCATGCGCTGCCTCCCAAGATGTGGCCACTTAGGGTTGGCCCTTAACTTAACCTTACCTTACCTTAACCATAACCCTAGGGGAAGAGAAAAATTTGTTCCAATCTGGAATCTTTTGGCACACTTTTATTTTAAAAGATAAAATAATATAGATTGCTTGCTTGCTTGATGGAGAANATGCCTGGGATCCCTTCATGAAACTAGTCCAGCTCAAAAACGATTTTGATGCTGCTGGGTCTGCCAATTGCGTCCAATCCGAGATTAATTGCACGCTGGGCAATAAATAAAGGTAGCGTTAAGGCCTGACCCTAAGTGGCCATATCCTGTCATTTTAGCGGCAGCAGCTTGAAAATTCCATTTGCCCTTGGGGATTGGGTGTGGCCTAGCGCAAGACAGTGGAATGTTCATGCGCTGCCTCCCAAGATATGGCCACTTAGGGTTGGCCCTTAACTTAACCCTACCTTACCTTAACCATAACCCTAGGGGAAGAGAACATTTTGTTCCAATCTGGAATCTTTTGGCACACTTTTATTTTAAAAGATAAAATAATATAGATTGCTTGCTTGCTTGATGGAGAAACTTGAGAATTTGGGGGCAAAACTTTAGTCTCTGGGTTGAGATCAGATAAACCTCCAATTTCTCCCCAGCTTTCTCCTGTGTTTGTAGTGGGCTATGTAAGTATGTCAGCCATTTTCAGTAACTTCAGTCAAAAAACACTGGTTCATAAGCTCTCATGGTATGACTTCTATGTGTTGCACTGCATTATGCCCAATTATTAATGAGTGGCACATTGTGGGGATTTCAAATAAAGAACGTAGGAGTCTGTCACATAGTTAACAAGCAGCTTACATAACGGTGACTTTGTCAATTTTGGACTTGTACTCTCATACATACCGACTTAAGTTTAATCTATACACCACAAGTATTCACCAAAGAGATTCTTGTCTAAATATTTTAATTGCAAGCTCCGACAGCTGGTCAAGTCAAGTGAAATACATTGCAATTGTTCAATGGTGGAATACTGTAAAATTCCGACAATAAATCAACCCAGAAAAAAGCCCCCCAAATCTAAAACACAGACACAGACAGAATCTACAATAGTAAGTTCCCACAAATGGCCATAGCTTCACAAAAGCAAAAATTTCTTCCACTCCTATGAAGCCCCTTGCTGTACTAGTGTTTCATGTCACAAAACTGCAGTTACAAAGGCCATTTTGCTCCATACAACAGTATTTGTCTATGGAGTTTGTTTCGTATTTATATTGTTACAGTGTGCTTTAATATTTTGAATGTTCGTTGTCAGATTTTGATGACCACAAAGCATGTTTTGTATTCTGTATCATCATCAGTGTTTTTTATGACCAGTTATTGTGTAGCCCTTATTTGTATGAGTGCAAAAGATCCTTCCCATCCTAAATGATATTCCAACAAATCTTGAACAGAAACTTCTAAAAGTACAGATAGGTTCCAGCCCACCTCCATGAAAATACCCGCACCAGAAATACCTTCTAGATTATTACTGAAACTATTCTTCTAGCATTTGATTGTTGTTAAGCCCAACAACAATCAAGTATTACCTTTCTAATATCTGCAATTTTGGCTTCCTCTGCATTTATCTTACAGTGGTTTGCATACAGTTTCTGCAGTGTTATTATTCCATTTCTACATGTTAGAATTGTGTTAATACAATAGCCAGACCTATCCCCATATAACCTGCGATCAAGCGTCCTTTTTTCCAAATCAAAAGAATGCCACCTGATTGCAGGTTATATTAGCCCTCATACCAATTATAATAATATTACAAGCTGTTTTACATAGTGTATTAATTATCCTGGCCAATCTACACAGTTAGGTGTGGCTGAGTAGTGAAACAATCTGCCTTGAACACACATGTCCTAGCCTCAAATAAATCAGAATACATGTTATATTAAGTCTTAAAACTGAGTTCAATGCTTTCTCATCCTTTCTCCCTGCCACTCAGTCGATTAACAACTAATTAAGCCATTCCATATAATTATTTAACTTAATGAATAAATTGTGTTTTCAGAGGGTTCTTTTTATAAGCAGGTGAGCTCGTCATTACCAACTATTTATTTACCATGAGTTATCCCTCAAAATTAACAGCAGCCATTTATGAAGAACTCAACATTAGTTACATTTTTTAAGCTGTCCTCATTAAACTCCATATTATTCATCTATTCTCTGGAAAGATCTTCCTACTTTCTTCGGTCCTGGACTGACCATCTTCTTTCTGGCCTCTTGCCGACCACTTTCTTTGTGATCAAAGACACAATTATGCTGCTCTGGCAACCGATGCAACTGACAGAAAACATAACCTGAAGAAGTAAAAAAACAATTTATGAACAAGTGCTTTTCTAGATGGGATTCCTGTGTTGAATGTTAATATCTCAATTTGTGCACAATTTAAATGTTAGTTAAAATGATTTTGAGCATGCCTGTGTCCAGCTGCGTCATCATAATTTTGATGCACACCCTGCTTTTGGCTGGAATCATTATTCACAAATCAATCATGCTAAACTCAAACCTCTTTGTTGCTACCCTTCTACATAGACATTCTTATGACTGGTTAAACACTCCTCCCCAACAAGGAAGGAAAGACTGCATGAAGAGCCTAAAGAGCATCCACATAGGAGGTTAAATTGTTGCTGGAAGCCTTCACCAAGGTCACAAATGATTAAGTAATATTTCACAGGGGAAGACAAAGATTGTTACATGAAAATTTTGCAAAGGTATTGCAGTAGTGGTTGTAACTTAGAGAGTTGTACAGGGGGGGGTCTCTGGCACAGTTCACAAACTGAAAAAATAGAGGATCGCAGATCACAGATATAAAAATTTTGTTTTCCCAAATCACGAAAATAAGCAAGTAAGATACTCTTTTTAATTACCTGTTCTTGCACTGGAAACAGTGTTTGAAGAAAGTAAAATCACGAATGGCTAAGTCAAGGCTCCATATTGCAAATTGCATACCTAAGTCACTCTCAATTGATGACTCGGACCATTTGGAGGACTTGCCTCTCAAAATCACGTAGAATAGAGAGGTAAAATCACAAATATCAGTAAATAATTCAGGTTCTTCATGGGTCACGCAAAACCTTCAGGTCACTAGTCACAAAGAATAATTTCCTAAATTCACCTTTGACAGAAAATAAAATCAGCTAATCATGTGTCACAAGAATACCCCTGAACGGCCCTCAACTTACATTGGTTATACTGGGTTGGAATCATGAAGAACTCATATTTGCACCCATTACTGGGGTGAAAATTGTGAAGAATTTGAATTTGTATCCATTCAGTAGTCAATTTACTGTTCAAAATAATAAAAATGTGTATATACCAATTTATTGCAACTGTTTCTATAATTCAGAATTAAGAGGTAGTAGCATTTCACTTGCAATAAAGAGGTCTAATACTAATTTTTCAAATACTGTAAGCTATGTTGTCAATAACGTCGATCATTTGAGGGTCCAACATAGGCCTCTTCATTTTCACTTTTTCTTCCATCCTACCACCCCACTATCCCACCATCCTGCCATCCCGCCCCACTCAGAATGTTAATCCAGATCCTGCCTTGTTAGAGTTGCGGTTCTCTGCATCCAAAATTTTCTCCTTTTCATTCTGCATCCAGTCATCAACTGTAAAACTATCCGACCTCCCAGCAGCCAAAATGGGTAAATCCAGCATCCCCTGAAGTGTTTTTACACAGCATCATGTCATTAAAATCTCTTTAACCCCCCATCCCATCTCCATTTTTACTCTCATCCCATATCCAGCCATACCTATGTTGGGCCCTCATGTTTGATAATTAAGAACTGCTGTACACTCCCAAAGTATCTTTCTGTGACGATCNGGGGGGGGGGGGTGATATAAACAGAAAAACTCTGATGTTGTAAAGGTTGCTCAATTGTTCCACCCACAGGGGGAGGACAACACAGTTTCGGCAGCCTGTAAAGATATCTCACAGGAAAAATAACCTGCTCCTTAATTAAAGATATAACAATACTTACTGCATCTACAGTTTCCCAGTTCCCGCTGAGCAAGTTCGAGCTTTGCATTGCATGTCCAACATCGTTTTCTTTTCTTTTGGACTGGAGCATCCTTAGAAACATCTGGTTTGTTCTCTGTCGTGTTATTCGATGATTCTTGTTCTTCGCTTGTTTCCTGGGATCCTTTCCCTTCAGCCGCTGTTACGGTTTCTGTTTTCATACACTTTGAATTGTTCCGATCCAGTTGAATTTCACAGTTCGGTTCAGTGCTCCAGGGCTCCTTTCCGAGGTCTTGCTTAGATTGTTTTCGGTTGGAATCTTGAATTTTAGATTTATTTTCTGAAACTGCAGCATTTCTCTGCTCCTGTTTCCCCTTCCTTTGTAATTCTGAGTATAAAAAGCGGGAAAATGTCGGACGTTTTATGTATTACCACATGAGACTACGTGAAGCACGAATTAAAATGTATTACTTACCATCCTTGTAACACTTTGAACACAAATTTAACGTCTGTGGAGATCTAGGCACAACAATAAACGATCCATTCTTTAGTTCAAATAAGAACATAAGAGTATGCAATAAGTTTAACTAAAAGCTTAGCCAAGATTTGATGAGTGACGAACGCCATATAAATAATCTCACCCCCAAAATCCACATGGACATTTTGGTGGCGTGCTCCCAGCGTTGTCCATAGCCGAACACTAGCACTAACAAACAAATCAGGAGTTAATTTGCAGGGAATCAAGTCCCTAATAATCCTGCAAAATCTCTCATTTCCTTCGGGTTAAACACATGCCCTAAATTTAGCACCGATAGCTTTGATAATTTGTTTCTCTGTTAGCAGATATCTGGCCAAATATGGTGCTAGTTTCACCCTCTCTCGTCCTCGAAGAGTGCGCAGTCAATGGGCAGCCTGGAAACTAAACTAACAACCCCACGACAGAGAAATGATTCTTTTGAGCATTTTGAGTAAGAATGAGCATAATAAATATAGTTATTTCGGTGACTTTGTAAACCACAGTCTTGCATTCAATCAGGAGCTCGTGTTTCAATTCATAATCTTGGAACCAGCCACACAGCCCACAGACCCATTTACAGTGGAACCTCCTACTCCTACAACAGCAGCCTCTCAGCAACGGCCATTTTTTTGTCCTCACGGACAGTCCATGCATTCACTCTTATTTAAACCTCTCTACAACGGTCCTCTCTCTACAACTGCAACGGCTATTAAAGCACGTCTCAAACTAACAAAATAACCTCTCCACAACGGTCAGTTAATTAACCAACGACTGACGAATGGTGTTTACCAAACCGCTAGCTATATTGTAAAACGTCACGAAACTTGATCCATACTGCGCGTCGTTGGTATCTGTTTCTGTTTGGTTTCTGTTTAATAGATATATCAGGATTGTGTTAGGTCTCCCATGCTACAGTCAGCATTTTTTAAACATAAAAATGCTGCACCGTCCGAAAAAAGTAGGTGTCATGTTACACCCTTTCCTTCCCATAACGACCGTACCACCTCTCTATATAGGCCACGTTCATCTTTCCCCAAGGTGGCCGTTGTAGAGAGGTTTGACTGCATTTGTTTCGCTTTATTTTCTAGTTTCTGATG